CGCATTATTGGACTTGACAACAATTCACCACCTCTTTTCTGTATTGGAAGAAGAACTCGGACCGCAATTGGCCCCGTATTTTACAAGGTAAAGTATATAAATAAATCTTACTTATCTATTAATTTTTATTTTACATTTTTAACTTAATATAATAACAGGGTCCGCAACTTTCCTCACCGCATTATTGGACTTGACAACAATTCACCACCTCTTTTCTGTATTGGAAGAAGAACTCGGACCGCAATTGGCCCCGTATTTTACAAGGTAAAGTAAATAATAAACTTCTTGTTTACGTGGGCTTTACTCGTACTGACGTACTCCAATCCCCCATTTTCCTTTTTTTTTACAAAATAATGATTAATAAATTAATTTTATTAAATATTAACAATTAAGACTCCGATATCTAAACATGATGAATATTTCACTCCTCTCAATGAGATGCACAACCCACCAGACCGCTCAGTGTACTTCCATTTTCCTTCTCAACATCTGTCATTTTTCAGCATATTCTTATTTCACGCATTAACTTATATTCTATTTCCTACTCAAAAGGGACTCGATAAGATTACGATGCTGTGAGGCAATTTATCACAGCCCAGTCTTAAAGAAATAAGAATGGATATCTAATTTCCGGACCCACTCACGCACATGGTACACACTGGATCAATAAAATAAAAAATAACAATAATAATCATAAATAAATAAGCAGTCCAACCTTAAAGGGAAGCACAAATATCTAATTCTTGAGGCCCACTAACCCACATAATAAACACTAGAACAACAAAACAAAATAAATAGTAATAAATAACAAACGGCCCCGTCTTAAAGGGATAAACACAAATGTCTAATTCTCCAGACGCCCTGACCGCATAATAAACATTAGAAGAATATAAATAAATAAATAAATAATTTAGCCTTAGAAGGATAAGCATAAGAGCAATGTTAGGGGTACTCGCCAATTACACTCTCCAACTAACACTTTCACTTTCATTGGGCCACGTTATTTTGGTTAAGGGTTGCCATTCATAACCTTATACAAAGCAAGCTTACGTGACCCAATAAGAAGGCATGTGTTGGCTGAAGAGTGCAGGAGACGAGTGCCCCTAACAGTGCTTAATGTCTAATTCTCGGGACCTACTGACTCACACGGTCAGCACTAAATAAATAAATAAAATATTTTTTAATTTATATTTTTAAAATATAAATTAAAAATAATTTTTACCATAAATATATTTTTTAAAAATATAAAAATTGATATTAATTTAAATATTAATATTAAGTAAATAAATTCAATTAAATAATT